GCCAACTCAGGTACATAAACACTAGGTCACAACACTCAAGAGTCACCTGTTCTGGCCATGACCTGCACATCCCAGCCCTGTTCTGTCAGTGGACCCCATCCGGCCCCCAGCTGCCTTCCTCTGAGCTCAGGCCTGTGCTGGGCATAATCCCCATCAGCCTCAGGACTGCCTGCCCCCCAAGCCCTACCCCAAAGACCAGGGCACCCTTGTGGTCTATTGGCTTCTGGGGAGGAGCAGGTCGTACCTTGTCCATCGTTTTCCAACTCACACAGCTAAAAAGCAGTAGGGGCCGTGAACATGGCGAACTGGTTTCCCCATGACTCCAGGATGGAGTTTATTTAGTCTTTACAAAATGAACAAAATCTTACTTTCTGGGCCTAAAACGGCCTGGGGTGAGGACACAGAGCCTGGCCTCCCCCTGCCTCATAGCCTATCCTGGAAGGTGCCGAAGAGACGTCACTTGACCCCCCAAGTCCAGCACCCTTTTTCTTCCTTCTTGTTCCGCCTCTCTCGAGCCACAGACAGGCGCCAGCTTCTCCTCATTCAGGCCACTTGACACATGGTGTCCAGACACATGGCACATGGCTGCTGGCCAAGGCCATGCCTACCCTCCCCCCACCCATGCTGTGCCAACGGCTCCTGAGAGCATCCAGTCGGGGGGCCTGGCCACCTTGGGTGGGCAGAGCCGAGGTGCGAGAGGGAGACCCACAGCACACATCTCCATGGCAACCGAACACACCCGCTGCCGAGGGTGGAGCATGTCAAGAAAGAACTTTAACAAACCACATAAACGCCCACGCATCGTGCCATGAATGCTTGCTTCTGGGAACGAACACCAAGGAAACAACTCAGCAGAGGGAGAAAAGCACACAGGCACAAAGACATTCACTGGGGCCACGTGTAATAACCAACAAACCCGAGACACGGAGACACTCGCTCCCTGCCATCAAACCGAGGAACGGCTCAGGTGACAGCTATGTAACTGTGAAAATGATTATTATGAAGAAGACTACAAACTAGGGTGAATTTATGACACAATATTAAATCAAAAAGGATACAATACTGGTTTACACTCTATGATCACAACTCTAAAAAATGTGTATAAATCTGGACAAAATCTCGAAGGGAAAATATCAGTGAAAATACCTGTTCTAGAATGATAACAAACCAGGTTACCGTCTTTGAAATTTTTTGTGGCTGTCATGTTGTTCCCACAACTAAAAATGAACTAAACATTGTTGCTTGTTGGCAGATGGGGAATTGGCCGAGGTGCCCGGGAGAACTTGCACCATCCGGAGGCGGAGGTCTGTCTGGGCGTGTGAAACACCTTGGGATCCTCCTGGGACAAAGGATGAACGGCGTGCAAGGAACTGCTCTAGGGCTGTCTCCGGGACACGAGACAGTCTCTCATCTCTGATGAGGTGAGGACTCTCTGCCCCACCCCTCTGAAGGGAGCTGCTGACTCATGACCACTTAGCCACGTCCAGGATTGACTACTTAGCATCCCATAACTTACACTGCAGTCATCGGCCCTTTTGTTTCAGTGTTGTCCCTTTTGGGGTGTGGGACGGGGACAAAGGCACCTTTGGCATGTCCTTTTTGTTGCTCACAAAGGGAATAAATTGTCTGAACCTAGAAGTAGCTTGTTTTATCTTTACTGATCAAATCAGTCGGGCCTTGGCCTGGCCTTGTAAGTGCATGTGAGCTCTCAATAAGATCCCGATATTATGTTTTAATAAAGTATCAATAAGACCCAAGAAGTGAGTGTGTGCACGTGCCGGTGTGTGTGCATGTGTGTGTACCTACAGAAATACATCTTCACGGTGTTTCAGGCTAGATTATTCTCATAAATGAAATGGGAAAACACACTCACACACATATATACAGTACGCTCTCACACACACTGTAACCAACCAGACAAACAGATGTGTAAGGCTAACCTAATCTGGATTCAGGAGCCATGGATTCAGCTCAACTGCTAGGTTTTCAACCTCGAGAAGTCTCTTTCCCTCTCTGACCCCAATTTTCTCTTCCCCAACGAAGGAGGGGACGGACTGGATAAGAACCCGGCCCCCACTGTGCTGTGTCCACGCGCCGAGGCTCATGCAGACATCCTTGAGGACTCGCAGGGGCAGGACGTGGGCCACCCTGGCACCTCCTTCTGCTGAAAGCAGTTACTGGCAGCAGTAAGTTAACTGCACAAAGGCAAGTCACTTCTGGCGTCCACGAGAAGCTGCTCAGGCACGTGCCTGGGTCTCCAACTGCTCCCTGTGAGTGGGGAGGAAGCTGTATGTTTACCCACAACAGGAATGCCACCACACTCACTTTCTGATGGAACTCAGAGCTTCCTTCAGCAACTCTGCTCTAGGGCCTGGTTTACTGGCAGCACCAGAATCGCAGACAGTGGTTCATTGTTTATGTGAGAAGGTAGGGCATGCCTAGTTCAGGAGAAACGGTTCTTTCCTGCTTGGGGAACAAGGAAGGCTTCCTGGAAGAGGAGGCATTGGAGCTGGGTCCTAAAAGTTGGACAGAATTTAAATGCACGAAGTGAGTGGGGAAAGGAGGTTCCAGGGAGTGAATGGGGAAGAGACAAATTGTCTCACTGTGATAAGGAAGTAGGAAGCAATAAAACACAGACCAGACCACAAGGGCCTTAAATGCTAGAACAAGCAAAATCCCAAAGCAGCTGTCTTCCTGAGTGTTTGTGTTTGTCATAATTTGACAATAAACTCAGCCCATTAAGGAACTGCCAGCTAGTTAAGCAGCCACTGGTAGAGCAAATATTAAGAAACAGTTACAGGAGCCAAAAGTCAAAGATAATTTTTAAAAGAAGGTGTGATCACAACTCTTGACAGATAAAACGCAAACACAGGTCAAAGATTTTATTTAATTCATCATTGAATAAGAGACCAATAAGATGTTACAACTGGGAGACAGCAAAGAACCATCCACATGCAGGCCATCAGAAATGCTGAAGTAAATTTGCTTAATGGGTGCAAAACTGGTCAATCTCTGCCAGACACAGTTTGTGTTGCTGTGGACAGGAATCACGGGCCTTGCCGTCAAGATTCTGCAACTTACAGAGTGTAACACAGCTCAAAGGCAAGGAAAGGCCCAGAGACCCCGGGAATCCAATAACCAGAAAACTCCTACATTTCCACTGCGGACGCTCGGGAGACTGTGTGATCCATCTCAAAGTCTTTCACAATTTTCCCTACAAAGGTGAGTAACGATCAAGGCGGAAACTCTTAGGCATGTGTTTTATGGGAAATCACAGTGAGGATGAAGCCTAAGGTTTGGAACCGGGCATATGCCTGTGCCACCAAGGCATGGCAGGCCCATGCCCACCTGGTGAACTTCAGACTGGGAACCAGAGGGCTCTTGTGCCACAAACCAGCCGAGAAAGTCCCTCCTCTTTCCGTCTCCGGAGGCTTCTAAAATGAGAAGCTTGGCACTAATCCCAGGTACTCGGTTCTGGCCACACCTGGGAGTCACCGGAGGAGCTTAGAAACAATACATGTGCCCCACTCTAGAAACCTCACCCCTAGGGCTTCTGATTCTGCTGGTCAGGGTGGGGCTGGGGCATCACTGGCTTTATTTTTTTTTTTTTTGGCTGCATTGGATCTTCATTGCTGTGCGTGGGCTTTTCTCTAGTTACGGCGAGCGGGGGCTACTCTTCGTTGCGGTGCGCGGGCTTCTCATTGCGGTGGCTTCTCTGTGAAGCACGGACTCTAAGCACGCGGTCTTCAGTAGTTGTGGCACACGGACTCAGTAGTTGTGGCTCGCAAGCTCTAGAGCACAGGCTCAGTAGTTGTGGCACACGGGCTCAGTAGTTGTGGCTCGCGAGCTCTAGAGCACAAGCTCAATAGTTGTGGCGCACGGGCTTAGATGTTCTGCGGCATGTGGGATCTTCCCAGACCAGGGCTCAAACCCGCGTCCACTGCACTGGCAGGCGGATTCTTAACCACTGTGCCACCAGGGAAGTCCTTCACTGGCTTTTAAAATCTCTCCCCCCAACCCTCCCATGATTCTAATGAACTGCCAGGACTGAGGACCTCTGGGCCAGATGATAAGACCCCCTGGTCCCGGACTCTCTTTGGCTTTGTTGTAATGTTTCCTTTTAATAGACAGCTGCCAGCCTTGGTGTAGAAGTGGAGATGTCAGTGGGACATTTTTCAAAAATGCTCCTCAAAATTAATCTTTGGTAGAGACGGTGAAAAAAGCACAATTCATGGCTCCGTCAGACTTGGCAAACAGCCTGCAATGTGTTAGAATCTTCCACTGTGGATGCCATCAGTTCAATGAGCAGTTTGCTGAGCTGAGCGCAGGCCTAGTTTCCTGGTTTGCTGCTTTAGGCATAATGCCCATAATGCAGTACAAAGATGCCCAGAGGTGTTTGCTAAGAGGCATCGATACGTGTGTGGCATGCATACACACAGGCATTCACGCACACGCTCACACTTCACAATGAACAGCAGCCTCCAAATGAAAGATCGGGGCCAAAGAGTTGTGAAAGGACCCTGCTTCACACAGGGGTAACTGACTGACTGGTCCCCGCAGTGGCGGAGAAAACTGACAACAGGGCAGACAATGGTGAATCCCAGCGCTTTCCTCCCGACTCTTCTGAGACCTCTGATATGCATTACAAACCTGATGTTATCAGGGATTGCTCCACTACCACCAGAGTGGGCCCCAGGCAAACCCTGGTACTCTGTGATAAGTCAGCTTACCCTGATGGGCCTTGTGTTGGTGGTACAAAACCCTGTTCTAGAGGACACTGTCCTGCCTTCCCATAGGACCATGGAGGGACATAGGCCAAGTGTCTCCAGGAAGGATGCTCTTCCGTCTCCTCCCTTCCTGGTTCCCTGTGTTCCTTACCCTGTCCCTCAACACACACACACACACACACACACACACACACACACACACACACACA